TAATATATGTATATTACATATATATATTTTAAAATATTTTATTGATTTCAGAGAGGAAGGGAGAGGGAGAGAGATAGAAACATCAGTGATAAGAGAGAATCATCGATCTGCTGCCTCTTGCATGCCCCACACTGGGGATTGAGCCCACAACCCGGGCCTGTGCCCCAACCGGGAATTGAACTGTGACCTCCTGGTTCTTAGGTCAGTGCTCAACCACTGAGCCACGCCGGCTGGGCTATATTTTTTTGAGTTGTATTACATATCAGTATCTATACAAAAGGCTGCAAAGGTTCAACATGGAGGGGAAAGTGCCAAGCTAGAGTGTGGGATAATGACAGTACGTCCTTGGCTGTTTCTTTGTTGTAAGAAGTATTCAAGTCGCTTCTTTTGTGTTTACTTTCTGTCTTGCTAGAAATTGCTGTGTTTACCAAGGTGACAACTATTTTTTTCCCTAATGGAGGACATATTTCACAAACCATAAAGCTCACGTGTTTGATGTATACAATTTAGTGATATTTAGTGGTATTCAGAGTTGTGCACTCATCACCACTATCTCATTCTAGAACATTTTCACTGTCCCTCCAAAAAACCCTGCACTCACTACTAGTCCCTCACAAGTCCTTAGGCAACCCCTAATCTACTTTCTGTCTCTATCGATTTGCCAGTTTGGGATGTTTCATATCAGTGGGATTATACAGTATGTGGCTTTTTGTGTCTGGCTTTTTTCACTCAGCATAATGTCTTCAGGGTTCATCCATGCTGTGCCATGTATTAGTCCTGGATTCCTTGGTGACTAGTGTTCCATTTTGTGGTTGAACCACATTTTGTATCATTCATCATTTGATGGATATTTGACTTGTTTCCACTTTTTGGCTATTATGCATTTTAACGATGCTGTGTACATTTGTAGACAAGTTTTTGTGTGAACATCTGTTTTCAATTCTCTTTGGTTATAGGATTGGAATTGTCCACTGATTTCTTTGTAACTAATGTTTTACTGTGGTACTTCATAGAGAGGAAACATCCAGGTCACGAAATACATATGAGATAAACATGCATGTGTTTTTGCATTACTACAATGAAGGCCAAGAGAAGAATCAGAGGGAATTTCCCAAGTACACATGCTTGCATGTTACTTCCTGTTCGTGCTACTTGCATTCAGCTTGTGTTTTTATGGCCTCACTCAGGAGAGAAGGTGCTCTTGTCTTCAGGACATCACATCCAGCTGGCCCCAGTGGCTCGTCATCTTGATGCTGGAGAGCGTTTGGCTGGCCTTGACGTTCTTTTTACCTGTTCCCGGATGCCCCACGTAAGTGACCCCGTGTAGGTCATCCCTTTGTGCTTGTCATTTTCTGCCTCGTCAGACCTTTGGGGCTCTATCTTCAGATTCCCCAAGTCCAAGGAATCCCTTTCACTCTTTCTTCTCCGTTGAGGCCCCTGTATGTTGGGAGAAGAGCTTGGTGTGTGTCCAGAGGAGTGTCCCTGGGAGGTTTTTTCAGGGTCAGTTTGAATGGAAGTTGCGGAGCCTGAACGTGGGAGGCAGTCCAGTCGAAGGAGCATTGGTCAGAGGGCCTGGCGCCAGAGGGGTTCCTGGCTGGTACACGTGTGCGGCTCTTTGTTGGGCTGCGTGCACAGCCAGTGTGTACTCTCATCCCTCTGGAGTCTTGTCGGTAAGCACGTGTTCTCTCCCCAGCGGCTACCTTGGGCCTGGCGGCATCGGCGATCTGGGGAAGTACCCGAATTGCACGGGAGGAGCTGCTGGCTACATTGACCGCTTGCTTCTGGGAGACGATCACATTTATCAGCATCCTTCCTCGACTGTGAGTGGCATGGGCTTGCACTTGGAACTGGACGTGTAGGCGCTCAGGAGGGAAGGAAGGTAGAAAGGGCCAGCCAACTTTCAGTTGTGTCCATTTCATAAACTAGGATGGGGACTAATTTTATTTGAAAAGATGACTAACTTTAGGGACTTCAGTGTTCATGATGGGGCTGTAGGGAAACAGTACTTTAGATTTCACAGTGAGTCTACATAGTATCAGATGCGTAGCCTAGTGCTTTTCTGTGGGTCCCAGGTCGGATTCACGAGCCGGAAGTTTGCAGGCAGTCCCGTGGGACCCACGCCTGCTGCGGAATGAAGGTCTGAAGGAGCAGTTGAAATGCATCCCAGTCACACGAAGGCCTCAGCTGATCTCCTGGCGGCGGGGTGGGCTGGGGTAGCCCTCAGAGGTGTTCTGAATTGAGGGGAGGGATCTGGCCCTATACCCCCGGTGGGATGTGCACTTCCCCCAGCAAGGGGGTCTGACTCCTGGAGAGGCGGCTCTCTTCAGTCAAGGACAGATCCGGAGAGGCACTTGGCTGAGAGCTATTGGCCACTAACACTTGAAGCAGCTGGGCAGGAAGGCTTCAGTCCTGCAAGGTGGGGGAGGGGAATCTGGGTGGCAGATTTGGGTATTTCCAAATTTCTGTAATTCCTACAACAACTTACTTTATAATAAAATAAGACAGATAGGTGTGTTAAATGTTATTTGTCTTAAAAGAAGATAGGACACTATTGATGTTACAACAGGGTTGACCAAAAAGAATAAACTTGGAAATTGTTTGACACTGGTTAGGGGTGTGTCGTGTTGCTGAGCCACCTGAAGTGGAGGTGGCAGTGCTGGCCCATGGCTGGTCCTTGGTCTCTCAGGCCCTTCTGAAGTGTCAGTCACACGCACTGTCTTGGCCAGAGGCGTTATTCTTACAATCCCCGCAAGTTGGCAATGCGTTTCTGCATAAAAATGAAGCACATTAAATGTTGGAGTGTATTGGAGCTTATATGTAGTCTATGAGTTGTGTGCATTTTCGTGGCCAGGGAGCGAGTGCTGCCTCCTTGTTCTGTTTTGTGCAGGTGCTGTATCACACCACGGTGGCCTACGACCCCGAAGGCATCCTGGGGACCATCAACTCCATTGTGATGGCATTTTTAGGAGTTCAGGTATGCGTCCATTTCATTAGGAAACATTTTTTTTCTGACAGTTTGGGGTTACTGATTCATTACTAATTAAAAAACTGTTTCATTAAAGTCATTGAAAGCACATCCTCTTCTGTGTATTACAGGTCTAAACATGTTTGTATTTGACAAATTGTCAAAACTAGAAGCTGCTAAAATTCAGCACATTCAAATAATTGGGTATAATGTCTATATTGTCCAAAGAGATTCTTATTATTCACACGGCTTACCTTAGAAATGGAGGCACAGCTGTTTCTGATAGAAGATTTCCGCTGGACTGTGCAGAGAACTTGGTACTGGTGATGTGGGGACGTCACTGTGACACTTTTCACACTTCTTTGTGTACACGTTACCTGGTTTTAGGTTATGTGTATTTTATGACCAAGTCAGTACAGGGTATTCTTGGTTTGTCTCACACGTGAAAATTCTGAACAGTCCGGCCTTTTCTTCCTAAAGTGCTCCTCACTAGTATTTGAAGTTGTTATTTGAGGGGCGCTAGCTGGGAGAAGAAAAATGTGCAGGGCAGCGCAAATGAAACTCCGTGTGATGATGAAAATGTTCTGTATGTGAGCTCTCCGGGTGGCTGCTGAGTACTGAACTGTGGCTAGTGTGACTAAGGGGCTGAATTTTATTTTATTTGTTTGTTTATTTATTATTTTTACTGATTTCAGAGAGGAAGGGAGAGGGAGAGTGATAGAAACATCAATGATGAGCGAGAATCATTGATCGGCTGCCTCCTGCACACCCCCTACTAGGGATCGAGCCCGCAACCCGGGCATGTGCCCTTGACTGGAATTGAACCCGGGACGCTTCAGTCCGCAGGCTGATGCTCTGTCCACTGAGCCAAACCAGCTAGGACTGCTTATTTATTCTTTTAAATAATTTTTTATGCATTGATTTTAGAGAGAGAGAGGAAGGAAAGAAAGAGAGAAACATTGGTTTGTTGTTCCACTTATTTATGCATTCATTGGTTGATTATTGTATGTGCCCTGACCAGGGATAGAACCTGCAACTTTGGCGTATTGGAACGACGCTAAAACCAACTGAGCTACCTGGCCAGGGCTAAGAGGCTGAATTTTAAATTTTATTTAATTTTTAAAGCTATTTCTATGGATTTTTTTGATTTTTTTTTTTTTTAGAGAGAGGAAGTGAGAAGGAGAGAGAGAGAAACATTGATGGGAGAGTGAAACATCGATCAGCTCCCTCCTACATGCCCCCTACTGGGGATCAAGCTGAAACCTGGGCATATACCCTGACCAGGAATCGAACCGGCAACCTTTTGGTGCACAGAACAATGCTCATCCAACTGACCCACACTGGCCAGGGTTAAATTTTAATTAAATTAAATTTTAAGTAGTCACCTCTGGCTCCTGGCCCCTGTATTGGACAGTGCAGGTCGAAAGCATATACAATTTGGTGGTTAAATAATTTCATGTTTAGAAATGCTGCCTTTATCTCCATAGCACTTTGTAGTTTACCTTGTGCTTTCATTTAATCCCTGTGCATGCTTTCTAGCTAAGTCTGCTCCTGCGGGAGCAGCGTAGGACTTAAGAGTGCAGACCTGGTGAGCGCTGCCTGGGTTTGCACCCAGCCTTCCCGGAGGTGCTGGGTAGCCTCAGGCACCCCTCTGTGCTTCACTAGCACCTACTTCATAAAGGTGCCCGAGGTAGCTGGGTAGCCTCAGCACGTTATTTGACCCCTCTGTGCTTCACTAGCACCTACTTCATAAAGGTGTTGAGTGGATTAAGTAACTTAATTCATGTAAAGTTTTGAAAACATAAAATTTAGCTATTATTATAAATAACACTTTCTTATAGTTTGATATTTTCCGAAATTAGTTCCTAATTTGAGGGGATTTTTATGCAAAGTTCAGATTTACTGTGTTTAAAATGTTCTCTGCCTCCAGTTCCACCTTGTCCCTGTCCCTCCTCCACTGCCAGACTGGGCCATCTGGCAGACCTATGGGAGAAGGCCAGTGCCTGTCAGTGAGACCTACAAGTCCACCTGCCTGTCACCTTCGTGCCCTGCCCACCGTACAGCCTGCGGCACCTGAGGGCTGGTGGGCTTTCTCTCCATTTTGACCCGCTTCTGGGTGTGCTGTTCCAGTCGGCCTGGATGCTCTTCCTGCTTTGCACTCGTAGCTTCATCTCTATGGCACTTCCTCTCTAATGTCTTCCTCCCACAAGTGGTCCCAGGTGCCTCTCAGTCTCCACTAGGCAAGGGCGGGGGTAACATGCCTTTGCTCTTTGTAATCCCACCTCCTAGCAGCGTGCCGGGCAGAGGGGTCAGTGGAGTGGTTAGGATGATGGATGGATGTGAAATCAGAATATACCTTCGGCGATTCTCTAGGTCAAACTGTGTTTTCTTTTCCAGGCAGGAAAAATACTCTTGTATTACAAGGATCAGACCAAAGACATCCTGATCAGATTCACTGCCTGGTGTTGTTTTCTAGTGAGTAACGACGTTCTTCCCTAAAACTCCTTTTCTTCATGCATACATATTTAAATTAAAAAATGTTTAGCAACACTTGTGTATCAGCTGTCACCACATCGCAACAGGTAGCATTCTTTCTTTTTTTAAAATCCTCACTCGAGAATATGTTTTTATTGATGAGAGAGAGAGAGAGAGAGACATCAATGTAAGAGAAACATTAATTGGTTGCCTCCCATTCCCACCCCCACTGGGGACCAACCGCAACCTTCTGGTATGTGGTTTGACGATCCAGCCAACGGAGCCACCTGGCCAGGGCAGCATTCTTCAGTTGAATAACTGAGAGGAACAAATCTTTCCACCTAAATTCTCAGGTTTATTTTTTTAAGGAAACTGTCTTTATAAAGAAGTCAGCACTGGCCATCAGCAGCCAGCCAGGAATGCATGAGGAAACAGAACCAAGGTACGGGTCTTGGTGGGAGCCGTACCAGGAAGACCAGGCACATGCTGACAGGTTTCCAGATACCAGCTTCCAGGTTGACAGGTGACAGAGGAGTGTAAGGTCAATTGTGCATGTTACCCCTGACCTTGCAGTCACGGTTCCTCTCAGGAGTCACTCCGATTTATCACTTAGTTTACCTTCAATTCAGAGGAATGATGAAAACATATTTTTGGAGAATTTTTTTTTAAAAAGGAGACATATGTACTACTCTTTGTAATACTTTAAGCAATAAGACAAAATTTTAAAAAATAGAGAATATTTTTAGTTCTGCATCTTCAAAATATTTTTCCAGCTAAAAGAATAAGATACGACACAATTTCAGCCCTCCCTAATTAGTTACATAAGTAAAATTTTTCAGTTTTGACACATAATTGTTTTGTGAGGTAATAGAAAAAACCTTTATCATCTTTCTCCCTCATTATAGGGGCTTATCTCTGTTGTTCTGACGGAAGTTTCTGAAAACGAAGGCTTTATTCCAGTCAACAAGAATCTCTGGTAGGTACAGAAAACAGAGTCGCGTCAGTGTTGATGGCTGGCGCTGCTCATGTCGATGTGCTCTCAGGAGCCCCGAAACACCTCGCTCACCTCCCCCCAGGTCCATTTCGTACGTCACTACGCTGAGCTCCTTTGCCTTCTTCATCCTGCTCATCCTGTACCCCATCGTGGATGTGAAGGGCCTGTGGACAGGAACCCCATTCTATTACCCAGGTAAGTGCCCCCTGACCCCTAACAGAGTTGCTGTAGTGACCAACTGGACTGGCCCTGAGACCAGCTGAGTACCCACAGAGGGGCCCCGAGCCCCAGCCCGGTGGTATGTCCCCAAGCTGCAGGCTGAGAGAGGAAGCAGCAGGGGCCACCAGGCCCAGGCCGCACAGGACATCCCTGGCCTGTCTCAAAGCGGTCCACCCAGTTTACCTACTTAGATCTATTTGGCATTTCCTCAGGCCACGATTTGGGGCATATCATCCAGTTTCCAATGCTTCAGAAATGGGGCATTCTTTCTTTCTTAATGTAAACGCACTGCCTTACAGATGATACAGGAGAAATATCAGGAGACGATACCAAGAGATAAACAGAATGGTTAAAATGCAGTTCTGCCTGGAGACCGATAGGCCCAACAACTTCAGTGACTCATTTCTTCCCTCTGATTCTAGTAATAGTTGCTTTCTTTGGACCTCCCGTTTTCTGTGAGAAAATACGAGTTAAAATTTTGGCTTTCCTTTCAGATTTAGTATTCAAGAATCACCCTGTTATGAAATGAAGACTTTCTAATAATTTTTTATATAATTTACGCTTAAGTATCTAAGATGTGCATCACTTATTTTTGGCAGTAGCCAGTAATATCAGTGCGTGCTTTTGTTTTTTTCACTGAACTAAAATCAAATTTCAAGAATTAAGTAGATGAGCCCGGCTGGCGTGGCTCAGTGGTGGAGCATTGACCTATGAACCAGGAGGTCACGGTTCAATTCCCTGTCAGGGCACATGCCTAGGTCGTGGGCCTGATCCCCAATGGGAAGCGTGCAGGCGGCAGCCTATCAATGATTCTCTCTCATCATTGATGTTTCTATCGCTCTCTCTCCCTTCCTCTCTGAAATCAATACAAATACATATTTTTCAAAAAGAGAGTTAAATAGATGAGTGGCAGGAACACACGACCGTCTGTATCTCTCCTTCAGGAATGAATTCCATCCTGGTGTACGTGGGCCACGAGGTGTTCAAGAACTACTTCCCCTTCCAGTGGAGGCTGCAGGACAACCAGTCGCACAAAGAGCACCTCATCCAGAACATCGTGGCCACCGCTCTCTGGGTGCTCATCGCCTACATTCTCTATAGAAAGAAGGTTTTTTGGAAAATCTGATCGCTCCCCCCAACGTATGTTGCTGGCGGACTCTATTAAAGGGAACCATTAATGATAAAATCGATAGGGTGTGTATTTCCAGATGATTGGGGACGATGCTGATGTTCCCGGGCTAGTTGACTGCGACAGGGCTCGTCAGAACTCTGCCTGCGTATTTGCAACTTAAATGTTCGGAATGTAATGGTCTTTTTTCTCTATCTTCTCTGTACATGGATGGATTTGGAACTCTATTCCAAGGATTTCTCGGAGAGCTTTTCACAAGGGAATTACCCTGGGCATTTGCTTCCGTGACAGATAAAACCATCTACGGTCTGATGCTCACTGGTCTTGTTCTGCACACTGCCTTTCTGTGCACACACATGCCCACCAGCGCCACCATTTCTGTCGGCCGACCCCATGGCTGATGGAATGTGATGTGTGGTTTAATTGTGTGTGTGTGTGGAGGGTAGCGAAATAACTTTAAGAAAGGGTAATTTCCCTTTCACGTCTGCAAGGCGTTGGTGGGTCCAAAAAATAGGCCTTCTGTCAGAAGCCATTTTCTCTTTTTCCTACTTGAAAAAAAGTTAAATGTAGGTGTGTTATTCTCAGCCACTCTCGCTTCATTATCTACTTATGTACCTATCTCCTAGTATTTACCTGTCGATCACCTCTCTGCCCACCCACCTCCTTGCTACCTACCTGTGCGTGTCTCTGTGTGACTAGATGGAAGCTGGTGCCCAGGGACAGGGCTGTGGGGGAGGAGAGCGCACTGTCTTACTTGTGGCTCCGGCTTTGCCGTCTTTGCCACGTCAGATGCCGGGCAAGTCCCTTGGCCTGTCTGAGTCTCAGTTTCCTCATCTGTGAAATGAGGGAGATAGCGATGACCTCTCAGGTCCTCAGTGAGGTGGGGTACGTTGATAGCTTTTTTGAAATCCTTAGAAAAATAATTTTACTACAGAAAACTCTTCAAAATAAGTGATAATGACAAGTTTAGAAAACTCTCATTGGAGTCAGTCTTTTCAGAATGACCCTCCACAGTGGAGGCACCTTTCCTGTGTGGAATCAAAACTGCAGAAGTCGTTTCTCGGGAGCGAGGCGGGGAGGGCACACCAAGAGAAACAGCACTGTTCCTGTGATGCATCATCATACTTAGGAATTTTCTGTGAGAATTCCATGTGTAAGGGAAATGCGACCATAGCTTGTACTCTAGAGCATCCTTCTGTGGCAGGGCGGGGCCAGCTCAGCGTTGCTTCCACTGTCGCCACTGCATGGACGACTGCCTAGTCTGTGTTCCAGCTCAGACCCCTGACCCAACCTTGGGACTGCTCATGAGCCCCTCCACCTGCATGTCTGCCAGCATCCGGGCTCACCTCTTCCCTCCTTTCTTGTCCCAAATTCAAACCTTTTCCTCTTTGGATTTTCCTAGCTCTGTGAATGGATCGTTCTCATCTCTAGGTATAAAACTGCTGCCATCTTTCACCCCTCCACCCCCATTATCCCTGCTTCTTAAATATTTAGTCATTGCCAAGTCTTCCCAATTCTGTCTTCATCTTCCCCTGTGCCATCTTCATGCTCATTGTCACTACCTATGACTCTAGTCCAGACTCTGCTTCTTTTTATACTGGCCTCCTTCCCTCAGTCCCTCCTCCAGAGAGTCATACCCATTGTCACTAGATTAAGCTGATTGAAGCTGGGCTCGGAACACATCGCCTCCTTATAAAAGCTTCCATTGACCTTGATACAGCTTTGCCGGGCAGACATAACTGTCCTCAGTTGAGCCCAACACATCTTTCCAGCTTCCCGTCCCCACCCCCCTATGCCCACCCCACTTATTCCAACCCCACTAGACCCCTCCTGCCTCCCTCACTTAGGACCTCCTGCTTCCGTTTTTGATCATAGTCTTCCTGGATTACTTTTTCCTCTTAATTTTCTCCTATCTACATTTTTTTAAATTAAATTTATCGAGGTGACTGAACTGCGTCCAGCATGGCCAGGGGTGAACCTGAGGAGGGGCGGTGAAGGATTAAAGAAGACAGACAAGAGAAGACAGTTGGGACCAGGTGGATCACTGTGCCTGCATGCGGAAACAGTGACACAGCCTGTAGGCCGAGTCTTTATTTTATAGTCAAATCACACAAAGCAAAACAAGGGCAAGATGTTTACAGTGTTCTTGCGAATTTCAAATCTGTTTCTTTCCTGTTGTTGCCATTCTCTGAACTCTCTCAAGCCTTGTTTTGGCAGCATTTGCTGCACCCCCCACAGCCTACATCCCTTAGCTACCTAGGGTCTGACTATAAGGTCAAGCTTACAACCATAGCCTTTTGGCTGTAATTGTGCTGGGAGGGCTTTGCCCTCCACGCTGGGACTTGTATGTGGCTTTGCCACAAGTCAGTCCGAGGCTTGATCCTGTCTGAATGCTGTAGCTGCTATCCACAGGTGACATCGGTTAATATGATCATATAGGTTTCAGGTGTGGGTTTCTGTATTATAAGATCTAGGTATTGTACTGTGTGCCCACCACCCAAAGTCAAATCATCTTCTGTCATCATATATTAGGACTCCCGTAAACTCCCCCCTTCCCTCTGGTAACCACCACACTGCTGTTTGTGTTCATGAGTGTCCATTTTATATGCCCTGTATGAGTGAAATCATATGGTTCTTAGCTTTTTCTGCCTGACTTGTTTCACTTAGCATAATATTCTCAAGGTCCATCCATGACCTGTCACTTTAGACTTCCTACTTCTAAGACACCTCTCCAAACTTGTATGCTCATCCAAAAGTAATATTTTATTCCTCTGGGTTCTCATAATACCTTATTGGGATCAATCTCCTGGCATCTGTCACTTTATGATAGTTATTGGTTACATGTCTAGTTTCCCATGCTAGACTGTGAGCTCATTAAAGGCAAGAATTATGCCTTGTTCATCTGCATATCATTGGCACAAACACAGTGCCTTGTACATAGCAGGCACTAAATAAATATTTATTAAAGCAAAGCAGTGCTGGCTGTTTTTGTTTTTAATATTTAAGTGCTGATAAAATTAGTGTCTGGCACGTCCCATGAAAATGTTGGTGGAGCTCATGTGTATGGGGACAGTCACCTTTGAGGGCACCTGCTGCTACCCTCTTGCAATGACTCATGATGGATGGTCACAGCTGTCATCCCAAGCCCCAGCAAGTGAAGCTGGGTTGGGCCTCTCCGGATGAATTCTCCAGCTTTTCTTAAATTGGGGAATCTGTCTGTTAGGATGTCCTGCACCCGAAGAACAGGAAATCCTGATTCAGCTGGGCTAGAAGGGAAGTTTATCTCACATGAGAAGTTGGGAGGGGCAGGCCCCTGCACATCCACTTGGCTCAGCTGGCTCGCTGCAGGGCTGTGGGAGGACCGCGTGACGGCCACATCCTGGGGAACGGGACACACACTCAGGAAACGGGACACTCTCTGCAAGGAGAGGGCCTCCCCTCTGTGCCTTAAGTGTATTCACCAGAAAACCCTCCCTGAAGCCTCTGGGCAGCCTTCCCCTCATGTCTCATTGGCTGCAAGTGCTTCATTGACTTAGAAAACCAGCAGTGGCGGAACCGGCTTAGACCATGTTGTCGGTGGCTGTGTGGAGGACGGCGATTACCTCCTTTGGGAGGGCAAGGGGGGTAACATTAGAAAGAAACACCTATTGCCGGTGCTTGCTTTTAGTTGTATGTATGTACAATCTCTTCACCCAGTATAGCCAGCCAAACTTTTTCTCTTGGTAATCATTAGTTCCAAAATACTGTTTTTCTTCAGGCTATATGCATTTCCAAATTCAAAGTTGATAGAACTGCTAGGTACTTGTATCCTATATAATAATCCTATATAATAAAGAGGTAATAT